TATCTAAATCTTTTGTTTCGGATTTTTAGCTTAAATTGTGTGTTCAAAACGTGGTTTTTGCAGTCGCGAAAACCGTGCTTTTGGAGACATTTTAGACTTAAAGTTCGAAATGCAGTCAAAAAATTTAGATAGCAATATGGCAGCGTAGAGTTTCTCGCCAAAAACATTTGGTGAGAAATTTGGCCCCTTGAGGGTGCATATCAGAGTAGTTCCGAATTTGTTTTGACTGAAGACATGTAAATTCGTAAATAAGGTAAGTGGATATTTCTTTTGCGTAATGCTAAAATGAATTTCCTTTTTTATGTTATTTCATTGTTTGATTTGAAATTTAGTTTGTTGAGATCATATATTTTTCGTTGGCTGCTCCTTCAACTTTTTAAGTGACTATAGATCGATATGTACATGGACAAAGCACAATGCGTAGTTTGTGCAATTCTCTGATGTTTTTTTAAGTGAAAATAGGTCGATGTGAACACGTGCCATTCGTTGAGTGTTATTTTGGCTTTGTGTAGCTATGATTTTTGCACCAAAATAATAAGTCAAAGAATTACACAAAATCTGTGTTAACGCACTACCAAAACTCACCAAGGGGCACCCCTAAATATATTTTTACCCCAAAATGTTATAAATTACCTGGTCATTGTTGGATGCTGATGATGTGCTACCTGCACTGGTTTGTTTAGTAGAACCAATATTTTTATTGCACTGTTTTTCAGTCTTGAGAGCTGGCAGTTCTTTAAGACCCTGAATTTGTTTAGTTTCAGCTACTTTCATTTGACTACTTAAAGGTTTATTCATATTTGCATTTTGCAGTTTTTGCACACGTACTGGCACTTGTGTGGTCACCTTTTTTACAGGAACTTCTGTTGCCTAGACAAAAATTATCAACGAATATTATAAACAAATTTCATGTGGAATCTAAAAAAAATATGCTATTATTAGACTTAAATATTAAATTAACTTAGATTTAAATATTTGATAGTTTGACTGATATTTTTTTTACACTATAAAGAAATTTAGGTTGATCTTTGGAATATGGTAACAGGTAGTTTGGCGACATTTTGGAGGCGATAAAGGTTACTACCTAGGACTTTGGTAATAATGGGAGAAGTACTCAGTTCCGATTAAGCATTATTTTGTGTGAGGGAAATGAGAGATCATGAGATATGTGACATTAATGAACGAATTACAGTTCTTTAATCGGAAAAAGGGGTAAATTTGGAAAAATTATTTTGTATTAAGCTTCACTGTGTGTTGTGTGAAATAGTGTTGATTAATTTTCGGATCGCATGGCGCTATGTAAAGTGAATTCTAAATTTTTAATACGTAATAATTAATAATAAGTTGACTACTGGATTTCAGATTTAGAAATTAGCAGTAGTACTGCAGCCGATTGGAACTCTTTCTGTAGGGAAGTGTGCGTGCCACGTAATGAAGATTCTGAAGAAGATTAGGTAAGTTAGTATTTTTAATCATTTGAGGATATTATTTTTATGCATTGTTCTAAATGTAAGAAGTAAATAAATTAAAATGGTATTGTTTGAAAATTGTTATTAGCAATGATTTAGTTTAAAGTAATTAGGATTGTAATCTAATTTTTATTAATTTAATGTATGTGCTTATTTATATTTTAAGTAGTGTTTTTTAATTTAATTATATTATATTTAATGATCGTGATTTGTGAGTTATATGTTTGTAGTATTTTGGAATACGTATGAGTAGTATATGTTGAGTATTTTCATGCATTTTCGTGAAATTTTTCTAATTTATGAGAAAAAAGCAGTGTACATGGATATAGTGAAGGGTGTGCGCAATGCCATTTTTGTACAATTCTGGGATGTTTTTTTTTAAGTAAAAATAAGTCGATGTGTACATTGTTTAGTGATATTTTAATTAAATGATAGTTATTTTGTGAATTTTATGTTTGTAGGAATTTGGTATACGTTTCAGTTGAAGTAAACGTGTATGGAAATAATTTAAATATTTGACACTAAGTATTTAACTATTTTTAATCTTTGCATATAAATTCGTTGCTGATGTTTATAATATAATAGATAATTTAGAGGAAAAAGTTTTTGGATATTTTATTTATTTTATATGTGAAAATGTTCATCTTTGGAAAGGGTATATACTTTTTCGCAATCAGGTAATTTCATATATGTTCTTTTTACCGGATTTAAAAATTCACAAAATTTTCATGCATTTTTGTGAAATTTTTCTAATTTATGACAAAAAAGCAGTGTACATGGATATAGTGAAGAGTGTGCGCAATGCCATTTTTGTGCCAATTCTGGGATTTTTTTTAAGTAAACATGGTTTAGTGATATTTTAATTAAATGATAGTTATGTCTTGAATTTTATGTTTGTAAGAATTTGGTATGCGTTTCAGTTGAAGTAAACGTGTATGGAAATAATTTAAATATTTGACACTAAGTATTTTTAATGTTTGCGTATAAATTCGTTGGTAACATTTATAATATAATAGATAATTTAGAGGTAAAAGCTTTTGGATATTTTATTTATTTCATACGTGAAAATGTTCATTCTTGGAAAGGGTACGTACTTTCTCGGAATCAGGTAATTTCATATATGTGCTTTTTACCGAGTTTAAAGATTAAGAAAATTTTCCTGCATTTTCGTGCAAACTTTTGTAATTTATGAGAAAATAGCAGTGTAGATGGATAAAGTTAAGAATGTGTGCAATGACATTTTTGTGCAATTCTGGGATTTTTTTAAAGTAAAAATAAGTCGACGTGTAAATAGTTTATGTGTATGTGCTATTCTGAAAAACGCGGAAGTAGTTGCGATCGTGCACTTTTTCCCAATTTTGCAGTTAATATTTGTTATGATTAAGCAGTTTTGTTACATAAAATTTCTAGCATAAGTGTAATTCGGCTAGTAGATTGTTGGAAAAAGTGTTGAGTAAATAAAAAGAAAAGAAACATGTCTTTACATCGGGAAGACAAAATGGCGGCGGAAAAAAAAAAATAGAGGGTTGCTGTAGGAGAGTTGGTCGCCAAATTTTCGCCAAGTTACCATAATCTAAAGATCAACCAAAATATTTTATATAGATATAAACAATATATACAAGACTGCAAGATTTCTTAATTTTCTCTTAGGAAAAAATTGTTTCATTTAGATTCAAAACATCAAGATTAAACTCCAGTACAGCAATAGCTGCGACATGATAAGATGACAAACATATGCTTCTCTGCTGTAATATGTTGTCATTCAATGTCAGGGTGCTTAGACTTTCTGGATAAGGTTTAAGATGATTCACATATGTTATTTAAAAGAAAAATACTCCATCTGCTATGCATTGTGATTATATATTGCTAAAATAATGATGTGAAACAGCAACATATAAAATTACAGGCAGAGTCATTCATTCCAAGAATAGTCAAAATGCTTCAATGTTTTATTCTCTCTCGACCATTCTTTATGAATATCAGTCAGCAGTATACAAACATCACTAGCCAGCAAGTGTATTCAGAGGTTTTTTTTTTTAATATAAAAAGGAATAAGGGACTTGCTAAATGTCTTACAAATGTGCTTTTTACTAAATTTTTAGATTTTGCAGCAGCTTATTTTTTAAAAGCAACATTTTTAGGAGATATATAATAAATACAAATTCTTTATCAGCTACAGCTTTAACTTTTCAGCATTCATAGATTTTCTTATGCTAAAATCAAGAAAATTGATTCCACGCTTTTTTTAAGAACATTTTCATTGGCAGATAACTTACTAGCATAATCAATGATTTTCATACTTCCTCATATGGTGTATGTATAATGTGGTAATTTTTCTTGCAGCATTTCTAGAAAATGTGCAAATAAAGAGCCAACATTAATCAGAAAGAATAAGTATAACTTTGTCACTGAAGCTTTTTAACTCTTCAAGATGGTTGGTCATTCTTTTAACACAACACTGTGTTAATTTCACATTTAAAGAAGAAAAAACAAAAATTAAATATATATATATAAAATATTCAATGAGTATAAATAAAATTACTAAAATCGTACAAAATATAAGATATAAAAGACAATATATTGCATTTAAATATACACATATATAAGAAGTATAGAACAATTTTAGCTTTATAGGACTAGTATTTAATGCATTCATTTTTATATATCTAAATACAGCAGTTAGAATAGAAGAAATAATCAAAAAGGCTTACTGCACATAATTTTGGTTTCACATCACACTTAACAGCAGCATGATTAGAAACAGTTGCTATTTTACTTTTTAAGACAGGCTTATTTTCTTTTCCTTTAGAATTTGCTACAAGTTGTTCATCGTTTTGTTTGATATTAACAGGCTTAATTCCTTTAGTAATGTCAGCAAGTTTTTCACTGGATGCCATCTTAACCAATGTTTAATGTAACACAAAACGGCTAAATCAAAAGATAAAAATATTAACACATTAGAACAAACATATTTGAAATAAATTACACTGCTACCATACCTAACGTAAAATAGCTTTCTTAGACAAAATTTAAAATGCTTTTCAACAAACAAAGCCTTACATGCATAACCTCTTCAAAATAAGATACAAATTATTTAGTGAATGATTTCAATATTTAGGGAACAGTATTGCGGCCCATGAAAAGTGTCTACACATAAGAATCCCTCCAATGAAGATGTGTGTTCAGGCAAAAATTTTATTTGAATATGAATATTCAACCTCTTCCGAGATTTCCGTGGATGGAATTTATGAATGTAAAGGCTTACTCCGTACGTTCAAATACCGAAAAAATTTAATTTATGTTCATTGTTATTCATTAATATTCAAAAACTAATGCTAAATTCGAGTACGACGAATTTAAAAAAAATATGGCATGAATAACGTTATTCAGTTACTAACGGTCGCGGTGTAATTAAACAACGTCGTATACCTTGTATGAGAGTATATTGAAAGAAAAAAATTACAGATGAAAGTTATTACTCACCTGGATGTACTTAACTACTACAATAATCAAATTTACCGCACAATTTACAGAAATATAAATTCTATGCGTTAACACTAAATTCTTCTCCGGAGATAAAAGAATTCAGATGTTTGAATAACCAAACTTCAAACATATAGCTTCACGAATATTATGAAGTCAGAACAGAAAATTATGTTCTGTGTTTTCAAATTTCCTGAAGTACTTTACCCATTTATAAACGTTAAAAGCTAAAGCAGTTCAAAAAATGTGTCTGTTTAATGAAAGAGGGTTGTCTTTCAATCGCGAGTTCTTATTGGTCGAAAACTTCTCCAGCATGATCAGCATCTTCTTCGATATTTTCCAGATTTGAGTAATTGAGGCTAGAGGTCATGATTGTTTTATTTATTTATTAAAAATTTTTTTTTCTTCCAAACGTGAAGTGATTCATAAAATAATTTAAAAGATTATAAACATAGTATTATTTATAGATTGTACATTATAACCTCATCTCAGCCGGCCATATGGTAACCGCGATAATAAAGAATTCAATTGTAATGAGGAAGGCAAAAAGTTACGGCCGCATGTCTAATTACCGTTGAACCTAATCGGAGACATCCAGACCTTACGCAGTGCAACAGGTGTTAGGGGCAAACTAAATATTGTTGTCAAACAGTAAAATGTATGAAATGAGTGGCCGATGCTATTCGCACCAACATTACCCACATTAATTATTATGATATTAATGATATTAATTAACAATTATGATACTAATGATTATAAATATGATTAACAATTAGCTTTGATTATGAGAAAGCGTTTGACAAGGTTTGGCACCCAGGCCTCCTTATCAAACTTATCGGCAACAATTTTCCACCTGGACTAATCCTTCTAATTTCTAGTTTTTTGGTAAGCAGAACTTTTCAAGTTCGTATTAAGAACGAACACTCAAATATCAGTTATATGAATACAGGTGTCCCTCAGGTCTCGAATATTTAACCTTTTCTCTTTAATATGTATATAAACGAGCTTCCCAGCCACAAAGATGCAATTATCGCTTGGTATGCAGACGACACTGCCATTCTCGGCAAATCCCTCAACCCTCAAAGAGCTGTTCAAAACTTACAAAATGCAATAGATTATATTTTCCCATGGTTCACTGCATGGAAAATTAAAATTAACGGAAGCAAATCAGCTACAATTTATTTTCAAAGGAACCCTAGAAGACATCTCAATAGTATTATCATCAATAACATCCCTATCCCGAATGAAAAATGCATCAAGTATTTAGGAGTTTATCTGGACCAAAAACTCACATTCAAAGTTCCCATTGAAAATACATGCAAAAAAGCTAATCAAGCAATAGAAAGTATTTATGAGCTCATAGGAAAAATTCTAAACTCAGTCCAGCAACAAAAAGGGTAATTAATCTTCAGGCAATACGTCCCATTCTTCTTTATGCATCTCCAGCTTGGGCTGCTATTGCAAGAACTCACCGCACAAAAATTCAAAAGATTTAAAACAATGCAATTCGAATAATTACAAATGCACCTGGTTTGTGCTGAATAGCACCTTACACTACTACTTGAAAATCAAACCAGCAGATGAAGAAATTTTAAAATTATCTCATAACTTCTTTACGAAGTGCGACAATCATCCTGAAAACTCGGAAATTATGATTACACAGTAGAACGACGCCACAAAAGACCCCGTAGTACTATTCACCACTATAGTCGGTGGTAATTGTATATATATTTTTCATTCTTATTTAGCCAAGCTTTATGAAGAATTTATCATTTATTAAAGAATGAACAGCTTTAAATCAAATTTGTCAAAATTAAATTTAAAATAAATTGAATTTAATTATTGCTGTATATGTCATTTCCGCGATATACTTCTTTTGCGCTTTAAAATTTGGAAAATTCTGGCGAAACCTCTTATGGAAGCCTTTTCTGATTTTTTCTAATGTAGCAAATGTCGCTAATACGAATCATGTAATTTATTTCATGAAATAATCAAACAGTTCAATACCTTTTCCTCTGAAGTTATTTAATTAAACAATGTTCTTCATATTTGTATATTTTATTTTCATGGTTTCAGTTTATTATGTGCCGCATAAAGCATAAGCGTATAGATTTTTAAATCAAGGTTTAGTTTTCTTTGGAAAGTTCTGCTTTTTTTCTGGAAACTCCGAACCTCATCGACTTCTCAGAAAAATATATCTTAAAATAATATTTAAAGTAGATCAGTATATTATCGATACTTTATGTAAAGATCATTAAAGATTATCTTTACACAAAGTACCGATGGCAGTATTTTTTGTTAAAAATAAACATAAAACATTTATCAAAAATAACATTAAATGTAATTTACTCGTTAATGGCGTTAACGTGTACTTCAAGCGTCACCTATCCTCACATTATATGTAGTTACCGAGGTGTAGAAATTATTTTGATTAATTGATAGATGGCGCTAGCGCTGCGTGTTAACGCGACGCGACGTGCCTTCTGAATTTCCATGGACTCTCCACCGGCAGCTCAAATGGATGTTAGATGCTTCGCACACTATTCGATTAGGAACACTTCGGTTCCTATTTAAAAGATTTCGATTTTCGATTATGAAAGCATATAGATTTGTTTGTCAACTGAACCACCATGTTTTAATTAATGATCTGTAAATATTGTAATATTAAAAGTTACATTTTAAAAGTGATTGATGTCGATTTATAGTAATCTTAGAATATTTTAAAACAGCTGGGGCATAAGGCGGTAAAGAATTGGATTTAGCATATTGCAAGTGTACGAAGTCAGCAAAAGGTAAGACTAAATTTTCTAATTTGTAGTAATTTGTAACTATGGCGGAAGAGTCTGTTGCTAAATTAAAATCGAAAAGAAATGTTATCAGGAACACCGTGTCTAAGATTCTAAGAAAAATCGAATTGGAATTGAATAATGAAGAAATTGATACAAATACATTAGAAGAAAGTTTAGACCAATTAATCACGAAATCGAAAACTCTGAGTGAATTAGATGCACAGATAGAGCGTGACTTGAAATCAGAGGCCAAAGAGTTTGAAACAGAAATTCTATCTTGTATCGAATACGAAGAGAAAATTCAGTTAAAGCAAATAAAAAATTGAAAGAATTAAATAAAGTAACAAATTCGGATAATGAAAACTCTCTTAACGAAATTAATTCTAAAATCGAAAGCAATAAATGTACGCGTATGCCAAAATTAACTATCGCTAAATTCTATGGAGATTATACCCAGTGGACAAGTTTTTGGAAATCTTTGAAGGTAGTAATCCACAATAATGAATCTTTAACAAGATCGAAAAATTTAATTATGTTAAATCACTTATGCGGCAACGCTGCAAACGCGATAGAAGGTTTTGTATTTCGGAACCAAATTACGATGAAGTTATGAAATACTTAAAAACAGGTTGGGCGGGAAAGATATAATTATAACTCACATGCAAAAACTCCTGAATCTTACCCCAGTAACCAAATCTAGTGACACTGTAACACTTCGCAAACTTTGTGGACACTATAGAAACTCAATACGCAGCTTGAAATCATTACAAGTCACCACCCGGATAAAATACAGTTTATGTTGATTCCAGCCATAATGAAAACTCTAAAGTCTGATATAACCTTAGAATTCAATCGTAAAACGGATTCGTCATCTTTTTTTAATGTTGACGAATTATTGCAGTTTGTTCGTTCAGAATTGGAAAGTCGCGAGAGAAGCCATCTGTTGCTCTCCACTCATAAATCAGAAAACTCTTTCTGTGTTTATAAAGAGAAGGGAGGGAAGGGGAGTATCGCCCATTCCACTTACCAGCTCTTGGCGCCGGTTAAAGAAAACAAAACTACTAATTGGTGTCTCTTTTGTAACACATCCAAACATGTTACTGAAGACTGTGAATCACTGACATTGATGAAAGAAATTTATTATGTAAATATGCAGATGTTACCTTTGTCTGAAATCAAACACCGCGTAAAGCAATGTCGAAGCGATCTCGTCTGCTCCAAGTGCAAAGGCCGACATAACCGTTCATATGCTTTCGCGCTGAGAAGAACTAAATGAAAAAATAAAAGTATAGAAGATTCGCATGTTCTTCAACATTCTAACGCAGCAAAATTAAAACTATTTCGCTTCAAACGTGTTGCGTAACACTTCGAACGAATACGCAGTCGGGGTTTTAATTAGAGCTCTACTGGATTCAGGTAGTATGCGTTTCTTTCCTAAGCAAAGAAATCGCGGATAAATTGAAGCTTCCTATTATTCGAACAGAGACTCTTTCGGTATGTACGTTTGGAATAAAAACACCCATTAGAAAAAACATTCACGTTTGTTAATAAAATTACAGAACAAGGGAAACCCCGAATTTGAAAATCGAAATGAAGTTCTCGTGACTGGAACAAATTTCAAGTTCTGATTTACCACCTCCTAAATCGATAGACACATTTTAGACAAACAGTTAGATGGTTTACAACTCGCAGACTCTTGGGATTGCAAAGAAAAAATTACTCTTTTGATAAGAGCTGATCATTATTATGATATAGTGACTGGGAAACTTAAGCGTTTAAACAAATATTTAGTAGCTGCTGAAACGCTATTCGGTTGGTTTCTGCTAGGTTACACTACAGGTACAATATATAATTCCACAGCCTTTAATAGTCCCCGTAGTTAAGGAAGATATAATATCTGATCAGATAAAGAAATTTTGGGAGCTTGAAAGTTTAGGTATAAAATCTGAAAATGAATCATTCGACCCATTAGACAATACCATAATGAAAAAATTCGAATCGGAAATTTTATACAAAAATTCTCTTTACAAGGTTAGGCTGCCATGGAAGTCTGATGACAAATGAGTTACATGACAATAAAGCGATTGTGCTGAAACGATTTGAGAAACTTGTAAAGCGATTTCAGAATACCCTGAACTCTTTTATTCGTACCAAACAATTCTACTCATATTACAACAAAAACACATTGAACAATCCAGACACTGTTGATAGTGAATCTCAAATCACATTTTATTTGCCTCACAGAGAAATCGTTCGTAGTGATCGAACTACTAGTAAACTACGTATCGTATTCGACGCGTCTTCACATGGACCTGGTGAAGTCTGGTTAAATGAATGCTTGCATATTGGTCCAAATTTGTATCCTGACATTTTTGAACTTCTATTAGCCTTCAGGCTTTATCCTGTAGCATTTACAAGTGACATAAAGCAGGCTTTTCTTCAGATGGAAGTAGATGAGAAAGACAGAGATGTAACGCGTTTTCTGTGTAC